TCCTGTGAACTCTGGCATTTTTGGAAAAATGATCCACTGAAAACTATCAGTCAAAAACAGAACATTGTGCCTGCATACTACCACAAAAATAGAGCATCTTCTATGAGTTTGCTCACAACCCCCCCATTCTTTTTCTTTTCCATCAAATAAATCAAATATGTTAATGGAAAAACATTAATTCTTCAATAAACAAAGATAACTGCTCTACTATTACATACAGCAAGTTCACTGTTGTCCAGAATATGCTATTAGAAGACATATCTACTTAAGTAAATCCTTTTGTTGTTCAGTTTAGAATCTTTTCAGTGCTACCCTCTAATATTTTATCACTAGCTACTCTAACAAACAAATATAATAACTAACATTCTCTACCTATCCTTCAAAGTGAATAAAACTGGAAGGAAAAAAAAAAAGAGATAATCGAGATCAAAAGCAATCAATTAACATTGTTGCAAAAGCCTTAAATGAGTTGCGTTGCAGGTTTTTAAGCCAATAAACATAAAACTGGAAATGGAGACCTAAAAATCATGACCTGATTGCATGACCTGATGGCAAGTACAGTGACATTCATCTTCTAATGTCATCTTCCTAAAAACATGTATGAAAGATCCCTATTACTGCCCTCTCATTGAAAAAGGGTTTATAAAAGCTGGTATTTAAATGCATACATTATATATTGGAAATTATTTCTAGTGGCTTCCCAACAATGATCTATTAACCATTCTTAATACTCAAAGGTAGCTGTAGGCAACACTTGCTATTCAGCTGTACATTCTGACAGTCAGAGAAAGCACATCTTATAGGTGATAACTTTTAATAAGACACCCAGTATTAAAAGAACAAAACCAGAAAGACTAAGAAGATGAGAAAAGTTTTCACTGTTACCTAAAGCATGCGAACTGATACTGTGGCTGCTTTGTCGAGATCTGGACTTTGTAGGTGTGTGAATAGAAGTCTCACCAAATCCTGATAAAGAACCTGTATTCTGCTTCAACTCCAAACTAGAAAGTTCTGTAAGACTGGATGGTACTGGAAGATATAGCTGCTTATTACGCACCAAAGGACTTAATAATCTTTGGTCTCCTGTGCAGGGAACAAAATCAAACCACAGACTTACATTCACTCCATAAGTTGCATAACATCCCTAGAAATCAACCCACCCTGAACAGCTGTTCATCTTTATTTTTTACCAGAAAGAATAAAGAATTGTCATAGTAATTAAACTGATCTGCTACCCAGTCAATCACTGTTTTCATAGGGCAGAGAAGCAGCAGTGTGTCAAGAAGCATTGTGTGTCGAGGCTCTTTCAGGCTTCACCAGTTAGCAGTGGTATCACCAAGTATCTTGCTTTCCAAGGCCAAAAGCATACAGGCACAACAGGAAAACCCTTTCTTCATATCAGGGTTAGGAATTAGAAATAATTTTGTTAAACACACAATAAAATGTTACAGTAGAAAACTGCATGGCTTCTGAGGGAATGTATCGTAGGGCACTTGACGGACTGTGGCTTTACAGGTAGAAGAAAGGATGTCCTTCCATGGACGCACTGAGGGACAAAAAGTGATGAGAAAAACCATATGCATTGGGCAGTAGAAGGATAACAGGTTCAGGACATGATGAAGCAGTAATTATACTGAACTACTGTAGCCAATTAGGAAAAGGTGTCACTCATATATTCTAATCATAATTCAGTCTTTCTTTACTATTCAGTTAATCAAGAGAGATACAAAAGACAAACAAACCAAACTCTACTGAATATTACCTTGCCTGCCCAAATAGTTTTTTTCCAGATCATGCTGCAGAAGTCTGTTGTGGAAAGATGACTGTTCTTTATTTATCTTAAATTCAAACTGTAACAAGACAAATGTTAAGTTATTCAAATGCAAATGACATCTTTAAACAAGCACAACCTTAGTTAACAACTGCTTTTTCTAAGAAAACCTTGCAAACACTTAAAAAAAATTACTATTCCAGTAAAACCAGTAAAAATTCTACTGAAATACTATGACTGAACAGTTTCACTGTTGGAAACCAAAAGAGAAACATTGCAGTTACCTTGTCATTCATCTGCAGTAGACTAAATAAAGGGGAAAAAATCCCAAACCACCACCCATTAAGGAATATCATAATTACAGGAGCCAGAAGTACAGATGAAAGCATAAGAAACTGTATATAAAGTTTACAACAGGCTATAGCACATCCCTGTGGTTCTACTTTGTGTCTTTTTAATAGGATGAAATAAATAACCAAAATACTATCAGATATTATATTAAAAATCAACATATTGTTACTGACAAGGTAATTCTTATCTGAAAGCCTACAAAATCTGGCTGCAAATACGACTTCACTAATTACTGTAACTGTTACAGAGAAAGCAATAATTACTGGTTTGCTTTTATCTGCTATTGATGAGGTCTGAATAACCAGCTGAAGACCACAATTATTAACCTGCAAGTCAGAAGAAAAGACACAGAATATTACATTTTTCGAAAACTTATCAATACAAAAAGATCTAGTATTTTTTAAGGATGTAGGCATTTACAACAGCAAAATAGCCCAAGAAGGAACTATTCTGAAGAATACTTCAATTACACTACATAACACTAGATAATTTATTTTTTAATTATTTTAGTTTCAAAAAAGTACTGAAAGCATGTTTTTCATGGCTATGTTAGCCTCATTATGAGGAAAGCAAGTGCTTACGTTTAAATATGAGACCTTTTTTAAGGCAAAACGTACTGGCCTTTTAATAAGATTTCTATGACAAAATGCAGCACCTACCTTCTAAATAATCAAAAGGTCTAACAGAAATATTTAGCCAAGTGACTTACAGATCTACTTCCCAGCAAATGCCAGGAGGCATACAAACAACGCAAGGGAAGCCAGTGAACCCTCATGGGGCTCCGCCAGCCGCCAAACCTCTTCCCGCCAAGGCCCGCACACAGCCGCCCTCAGCCTCAGCCTCAGCCTCAGCCCCAGCCCCAGCCCCAGCCCCAGCCCCAGCCCCAGCCCCAGCCCCAGCCCCAGCCCCAGCCCCAGCCCCAGCCCGGCCGGCCACACTCGGCCCCACAGCACCGGGGCAGGACCGCGCCCCCAGAGACGCCGCTACCCCGCCCAGGGCCCACCCTCCTAAGCAGCGACGAGGCTCGCCCAAGAGCGGCACGCAACCGCGGGACATCACCGGTCCTGACCCCGCACACCAACGGCTGAGGAAGGGGAGGAAAAGAGATGGTCGTCACGCATCGCCCCCTCACAGCGGCACCTACCGGGCCGGGCACAGCCCGAGGGCCCCTGCTGGGCCGGCACTTGCTGGGCACCATGCGAACCTCAGCACCTCACACCTCCGCGACAGCCACCGCCCCTGTCGGAAATCGCTCCGCCGTTACCAGGGGAACAGCCGCTTCCGGCTCGGCTCGCTCTCGGCAAGCCTCACCCCTGCCTCGCTTGCCGGGAAATGGCGGGAAGCCGTGAGGCGGTGCAAGGGATCATGACCGTCCTGCTGTCACCGGTGCCTGCTCCGGCGAGGCGACCTCAGGTACGGGACTGAGGGTAGGGTTCGGGAGGGTGCGGAGCAGGTCTCGCACGTGCGTGGCGGTTCCTCCCGCCCCCCGGTAGTAAAAAGACTTTTGTCCGAATTGTAAACGCAAGTGACTGTGTATGAAAAAGCAAGAGGCCGGACGTACCCTCCACGTTCCTGTTCTGCATCGACAACTTGTCACGAAATGGGAGGCTGTGAGTGGTGAGCCTGGGCTCTCGGTCCCCCGCAGTGTGCCGAGCCCGGCCGCTCCGGGTCAGTGCCTCAGTCCTGGGCAGGGCTGACACGGCAGTTCTCGGAGCCCTGCCAGACCCGCAGGTGGGTCGTGGACGTTTTTAATACACGCATCAAGAACTCACTGGCTGGAAAAGCCACGGCGTGGCTGTGTATGGAAGGGCTGTGAATTGCCGACGCTAATTCTCTCAACGTTATTAATGTACTATGAACATTGACGAGGCCAAAGACCAATTCTGTGCAGTGACCGCTGGTAAAGCAAAAAAAACCAGATCTGATGTCCTTCCCTATAAAATCAAGTTCATGTAACCTTGACACAAGGAGTCATCAGGTGAACTGAAATGTCTCTCTCAAACACTTACTTTAGCTGTAGCATAAAACAGTTCTTTGCTCATACCAGTCCTGACCTTGTTCCTACCTATGGAGGCAAACAACTCCCATGAACTCAAATACAAAATCCGACCCCAAATCCCTGTATGTACCATCTCATAAAATGCATATTTTGTGTTTGTATTTCTGCTCCCACCAAAATCAATACTGAAGTGATGTCCTACCCAAGGCTTATTACAAAATGCTGTTCTATTAGCAGAGAAGAGATGTGGTTAGTGATGGGTGTAAGTGTATTTCATAAACAAAATATTTCATTGCTTAAGGCATATTAAAAAATAAGCCAAACCAGTGAGGCTGAGCGTTAGTTCCAGTATGTGGTCATGCCAGCACATCTGACTCATGAGGACTGTTTGTCACAGTGATGAGAACTGGCGTCTGAGTGCAGTCTCACTTTTTGTCCATCCAGACTTTTAAGACGAAAACATTGCAGCAATACAGTGGAGTACAATTCAGGTAATTTGTACAGGCAGATTGCACACACAAAACCAAGGATGCCATAAACAAAGCGATGACTTAAAAAATCCAACCGGCATTTAGCAGTCTAGGTTCAGCTGATACTGAGAGAAAGAGCTTCCCTGACTGAAGAATGAATATTTACACTGTAAATTGAAATGCTTTAGATTCTAATCCTGAAAATGCAAATGCTGATTTCACTTTAAGAGCTGAAACAGTTCATTGAAATATAGTGCAGTAGTTTTACACTCAAAATAAATCAATATGTAAGTGTTTGAGAAAAGGGGCCTCTATTTTAATAACTTTTTACCGAGGAATGTTTTTATTCTGTGTAAGTACCATGAAGAATTATGGAGAAGTTCTCCTACAAAAATAACATATCCAGTCATGTGTTTTTTCACTCGGTTTTCTGATTTCCAAATCTTACCTTAAGCATTTAAAACTACACCCTAGCATCACCTTTTTGAATTTCTTAAAACGTGACACTCTAGTCCGGACATAGAAGTGCAGCCCCGAGGCAGTACAGGCAGATGCGAACCTGGGACGCAGCTCTCGGGTGCGGAGCCCGTTGTTTTGTGTTGAAATAGAAGCAGTCCCACTTCAGTGCTCAGCGTTGAAGACTGAAGCTGGGCGGCTTGCCCGGGCCCTGCGGGCAGCGTCGCTGGAGGAGGGACGGACCCTCCCGCTGCCGCGCCGGGGAAGCACCCGGGGAGCGGAGCCGGGAGCACCGCCCCAGCGCTGCCGCCTTCTCTACAGGAGAGGACCGGGAGAGAAGGGGAGGCGGGTGACGGCTGCTGCAGCCCAGGGTATCGCTGCTGTCGCGGCGGCGGCCTGAGCCTGACCGGCATGGCCCAGCGACAGCCGGCCACCACAGGGGACCCCGAGGCGGCGGAGCCCGGGGCTGGGGACACCGGCCCGGAGCTGGCAGCGGGGAACGGCCCCGTGCAGATCCGAGTGTCAGTCCTGGCGGCCGGAGAGGAGGAAGAGGAGGAGGAAGAAGGGGAGGACGGCAGCGAGTCGTGCCCGGCGGCGCGGGGCGGCGGCAGCTGCAGCGAGGAGGACTCGGGGCTGTGCGGACGCTCCAGGTGAGCCCGCCGGGCCGGGGGCCGGGCACCGGCGGAGAAGGGACCCAGCGGCGCAAGCGTTTCTCTGCGGGCCTCGCGGAGCGGGGCCGCCGCCACCCACGTAACGGTGCGGCCGCAGCTGATGCAACGCCAGTGGGGAAGGGTGGGAGACGCTGCAAGTCCTCCAGCGGTGACGGGGACCGCCGCTGGGCGGGATCTGTCCGCAGCGGCGGTGATTCCCCCCCGGGCCGCGAGTGCTCCCCCTCCCCGCGGCCATAGCCGGGGCCAGGCTGTGGGCGGCTGTCCGGCGCTGCGGGAGGAGCGGGACATGGCTTCCACTCAGCGGGAAGTGCCGGGCTGTGGTGTCCTCGACATTTCCATTTCACTGCCTTTTAAAGAGCTTTCGGGTTGGTTGGTTGGTTGGTGGTGTGTTTTGCGTTGGATTTTGTTTTTCTTCAGTAGAATTAAGGCATGGAGAACCAGATCCGTTCAGTGGGTTTGGAAACAAGTTGTCGAGGCATGAACTCAAGACCAGTTTAAATACAGGAGAAACTACCACTTTATAATTGACTCAACACTTATCTTACTGATAATGCTAATAGTGCTGTCTATATTTAATAACTTGCAGTTGTTGATTACCAATGCCTGAAGTTGCTTTGATGCCTACTAGAATATCTTACTTGTAAAAGGCACATCTGGGATTTTAGTGCCAGAAAACTGTAGAGAGACAGTTGGAACTTAATGCTGTAAATCACGTTTCCACATAGTACTTATTAATACAATACCTTATTCTTTTGGAGACTCAGCAAAATCTTGTCAAAAGGTTAAATCCTATCCAGAAAAATTAATATATTGTATGTGACTTTTGATATTTAAAAGCCCAAATCTATTCTCCATACAGATATGTTTAGTTTCTTGTGTAGCCAGATGAGTCATGGTGTTAAAAGGTTGGTTTTCAGTCTGTCTTGTTTTGACAAGCATATCCATCACAAAGCTCTGAACAAAGTAAATGAAAGCTGTGAATGACGCTTTTTGTGTGTGTGTGTGTGTGTGTGTGTGTGTCAGTGTTGACTGACATTGCTTTATCAACTACCTTTGCAGTAGAGTTAATACCCTAGAGGTACTACCAGTTGTTCATTACTATGAATTAATACGGAGCTAGTTACAAATTTCTGCATTTGCTGTAGGTGGAATTTCTGCAGAGTACTTAGTGAGGACTGTTGTAAGAGCTCATCTTTGCAAACATGCATTACAAATACATGCAAATTCTCTAAAAAAAAACCCTGTAAACTCCATCCTGAATCAAAGGTCAGCTTTTCTTAGCAGAGTGTGGATACATAAAAATGCCTAAATGTTATAAATACTAGTTCTGAATCCACAGTGAATGAAAACGAGAAGTCGTAAGGTCAGGGAATATAATGAATGAAAAACAAACACTTAACCTTGTTCTTTCTTCCTTTTGAAACCAGCACTCACAGCTCCATTAACAGTTGAATTTTATTTTATTTTTTTACTGTCTTAATCATAACTTCATCTGTTACCCTTCACTTCCAGCATTGTCACATAAATCCTTTTTTTCGCTTTCTCACTCTTGACAGGTACAGTTCAAAGAAATGACAAGTGGCTAGGGAGAATTTAACAAGGAGAATTCTAGGATTGTGTGAGTGAATATGCATGTATACCCTAATGTGTTGCCTTATCATCAGAAGAACCATTATAATGTAAATAATTCATTAGCATCAAAAAGCCAGGTCCCAGAGAGCTGCTTGTCACACCTGGGAGCGCATTCCCTGTGCAGAGCCCGTTGACCTGAACATCTTCAAGTGTATCAGAACCACCTGCCTAGGCAGTGTTTGTGCCTTTGCCCCAGCATGGGCAGCACATCTGTCAGCATTACAGTCACAGTCTCTAGTTTGTCTCCAGGACAAAACTGCCACGAGTCAAGGTGATTCAGTAGCCTGCATCCTCCCTGCAAGAGTGCCCTCTGAGGGGTCTAGTGTGATGCCTGCTCCCTTGTTTAATGATTTCACAAGCTCTGCAAAAGCCTTTTAAGACAGTTTCGGGAAAATGTGTGGCTCCTCCTTAAACAGAAACTTTCATGATGGCCTCACAGCAAAACTAGACTGCTAACAGCTTTAAAAAATGACTGCCTTAAGATAAACTCATGATTATAGTTCTTATAGTAACAGTTATGGCAGTAGTCTGTGGGTGAACTATTTGCTTCACTGCTAGATGACAATTTAAATAGTAATTTCTATTTCAGCAACAGATACGTTGCTGTAACTGTCTGTGCCAAGAAGTTTATCTCAAATCTATGGCTGCACTGTCTTTTTTTCTGAATAGGATGCTCAGTAGTGCTCCATTTCACACAGATCCCTAGGACAGCATGATGGGAGGGGGAGAGAGGAAATGAAAATGACTTCTTAGCAGCCTGCATATGTGTGCATATACAGCTTTTCATGAGATACTTGAGCTGCTACTACACCAAAATCCTTAATTTGAAATATACAGTTTAAGCCCCTTGGCAAACTGCTAGTTAAGTTATTCTGTTGCTCTGGAAGTCACCTGGAAGACGGTAGTCCTGTCAGTCTGTCTTATTCCCTGGATACTGGCTCCTGCATTCATGCAGTGAAGAGGCTTGAAAAAACATGATTGCATTAAATTGGAATTCACTGGTAGGTGACACTACTTACGAAGCACATCAAGGTCTAGACTACATTTAATAGCTTCATACTGAAAAATATAACACTGTTGTGAGAAGAACTTTGTGTAGTACCAAGTGCTTGTGCACCTGCATTTCATGTTTTGGCATAGGATTTGAGTTGGCAGTGTTTTCAATCTGCTAGTGTATGTCTCATTGTTCTACATTGAGATCATCTTTTGGAATGAGCTCAGGAACTTGACTCCTTGTGCTGACTGGAAAGCTGCATCCTCTGAGCTAGCCTCCTGCCTCAGATGGATAGGGTGATACCTGTTCAGTGCCTACCTATAAAGTAAGTTGGAATCAGCATTATAGTTACATCTGTTAATTTTAAAATCCTATTTGAATCCACTAATATAAGATGAAGATCTGTTAATAAAATTATATTTAACTGTTTTTCAGTGGTGGGGAGAATGATGATGACTCTGACCAGAACTGGAAACCACCAGAAAACAGCCTGATCCAGAAGTTAATAGCACAGATTGAATATTACTTCTCAGATGAGAACCTTGAGAAAGATGCCTTCCTTCTAAAGCATGTCAGAAGAAATAAGATGGGCTATGTCAGTGTTAAACTCCTCACTTCTTTTAAGAAAGTAAGCTAACGTTTTAAGTCTGAAAGTGCCTTGTGTAAGCCTGATGAATCTAAAACGTTAGGAGAAATGAAATGAAAATAACTTATTTTATAGAGGCAGTTTTACTGTCTTTATCTGCTTCACAGCAGTTGATTCAGTTTTGATGTGTTGGCTAGGTTTGTTCTCATGCAGAACTTTAATTGCTGAACACATTCATAATTGCCACGGGAAATCACAGACTTTTAAGCAACTATGCTTTTAAATTATTGTTCTGGGAAAGAATATAGTAAAAAGGACACTGGATAAAAGACATTTCTAGATCATCTACTTGTAGGAAGCTAAGTAATCCTGGTAAAGTCACTCTTGTCTCTGAGAAGGGATTGTGAATCTGACTTTTGCAATAGAAACTATCTGGTAACTGAAGTCATTTAAAAGTGAGGCGGGTTTGTTTTATTTACTTATTTTTTTACAGTAGGAACCTCTATGTAAACGTGTATGTAACTGATTCCTAACATTACATTAGAAACATTTTGTCAAGATTCTCTGACAGTTTTGCAGAGCTATTCAACCTAGAAAATTTAGGCACTCCCAGTTTCTTCAAACCAAACAGATTATACCATTAACAGATAAACTCTTCAAAACAGTCCTTGGAGAAGTTTGGGAGTTTTTTAAACTGAAATTTTTGAAGGAGGAAAAATTAGTTCAATACATGAAGTCCTTAACTTGGAAATACTATTTGTTTGGCAAATCTCGCAAAATAAAACCCACAGGACATGCATATTGGTCACAGTTCAGACCTAGATATGAAATGTCTGAACATGACTTGAGCAGGCTTTAAGATTAAGTAATGATTTTGGTTTCTATTTTCACTAAATTCAACAGGATATGAGCTTTACAGGAGCTCATTGATGCCAATTATAGCAGGAAAACAGTTTGTTTTTTCCAGTCAAGTGTGCTACATGGAACTTAAATCCAGGTTCTTGGACTGCCTATAGACCTTGTAGACTAAGGCAGATGGTTTTGCATCTGCCTTAGACTTTCTGTAATTAGTTTGACTGGGTTTTATCACTTGCACTGCTTAACGCACGTTTGTCTTCAAGGTGAAACACCTTACCCATGACTGGAGAACCACAGCCTACGCACTGAAGTACTCGGACTCTCTTGAGCTCAATGATGATAACAAAAAGGTTAGAAGAAATACTCCAGTTCCAGTGTTTCCAAGCGAAAACCTCCCTACCAGGATGTTACTGGTGTATGATATCCACATGGTTTCTGAACTGCAGGCTCTTAAACAAGAAAATGGATTCATGCAAGAAAGGATAATGGAGTATCTCCTCAAGGCCTTTGTAACTTTTGGTGTAATTTCATCAGTTCGTATTCTCAAGCCTGGTAAGGACCTACCACCCGATATCAGGAGGGTCAGCACTCGGTACACCCAACTGGGAACTCAGGAGTGTGCAATTATAGAGTTTGAAGAAGTAGATGCTGCTGTACGTGCTCACGACTTTATGTGTGCTGAGAAGAAAGAGACCGGCATGAAAGTTGCCCTAATAGGCATGAAACCTCCAAAGAAAAAAGTTCCCAAAGACAAGAACCGTGGTGAAGGTACCAGAAAGGGTCTTAAGAAGGTTAAATCCCTTAATAAGAGAGTTGAGGAACTTCAGATAGTTGGTGATGAATCTTCAGCAAACAGCTCTTCTGACCCAGACAGTAATCCTACATCACCACTGTCAGGACGCAAAAGTACTGCAACAAATACTACACGTAATTTGAGCCCAGTCATTCACCCAAATGACCGTTTGAGCCCTAACATGTCACCCAGAACAAGTCCTTGGAACAGTCCATCTTCATTAAGAAAAGTAACCAAAAAGTCTCCTCTGGCTGAAGACCGCAAGCTTAACCCAAGCACTAGCCCTGAAATTCCAAGGAAGTGTACAGATTATTCCTCAGATAGCAGTATCACTCCTTCTGGTAGCCCCTGGGCACAGAGAAGAAAAGCTCAAACTCTTTCACAAGAGAAGAGTCCCATCACTAGCCCCATATTGGTTCAGAAAATACAAAAAGCAGATGGTCTACCTGTAGGGGTGCTGCGGCTGCCTAAAGGCCCTGATGGCACTAAAGGATTCCACAACGGATGTGAAAGAAGGAAGGCTACGAAGGAAGCGTAAATTATTCTTTAGAAATGATCTTACAAGTCAGGCAACTGCTTTTGTTCAAGCCTGGTTAAGAACTGTCATTTGAATGACTGAAATAAGTCAGTATTTAACTGTAACAGATTCTGTATTCATACAGAGACTTAATCATTTGTATATTTGTATATTCATTTCACAGAATCCCAGAATAGTTGAAGTTGGAAGGCACCTCTGGAGATGAAATCCAGTCCACCTCCTTTGCTCAAGCAGGGTCCACAACAGGTCACTTACTTAGGATTTTGAATATCTGCAAGGATAGAAACTCCCCAGCCTGTTTGGACAGTGTGTGCCTATGTTCAACCATCCACACAGTAAAAAAGTGCTCTGTTCAGGTGGAACTTGCTGTGTTTCCATTCATGCCCCTTTTCCTGTTACTAGCTGTAGCTAAGAAAAGCCTAGCTCCATCTTCTTCACTCCTTCCCGTCAGATATTAGAAACATTGAGATCTACCCCCTGAGCCTTCTCCAGCTCTCCAGGTCTCTCACAGGAGAGACACAGCCTCAATCATCTTGTGCACTTACCTAATGCAGTGCTAATACCTGCATTACTACGTTTTTAATGTATTAGTTTGAAATTCCAAAATATAGAAACAGACATATAAATCATTAATGTAACTACATTGTTTGCAAAGCTATAATCCTGATGAGCAGTGTGTAAATACAGCTGAGTGGTTGTATTATGATAAGCTGTGGTATGTTACCAGTCTAATCATAAGGAGTAGAAGTCTTGAAGACTGTCTCAGAAAGAGTTCTGAGAAACTTACAATGCAGTAAGCAGTTGCTCCCTGCTTGCTTACATCTCCAAAGACAGCCGGTTTAGTAGGACCAAAGTGTGTATTTTCATGCAATGTGAACAGAGACTCTGAGCACTAGAGACTATTCTCTAAGTGTTCTCTCACATAATCAGATGGAAATAAACAAAAATATTAACTTGGTCTAGATCTATTTTGTTTTCGTTAAAAGTAAGTTGAACTGAACCTGATGAGATACTTAAACCTCATCTTACACCATGTGAAATTCTAGAAATAGTTACCTGATTCCCACTGTGTTCAGCAGGCTGGGGAAGAAGAGGTGCTCTGCCATTACTGATGGTTACTCCAGTGGTGATGCTTCACTCCAACTGTATGTCACAGCCCTTTTTATATAATATTGTAAACTAAACAATGGTTATGTCACTATTAACTGACTTGAACAAGCAGGCTCAGCAAGAAGTACTTAAATGAAAATTTAAGCCAAAGAAGGAATCTCTGAGCTTTACTTACAGAAGTTATACTCCTGAAAAACAGCCCAGTGATAATAAGAAGGTAAAGTCCCAGCTTCTAATGGACAACTTGGGAACTGTGCACAGCTAAGTTCTAATCAGACAATGATTCTTCATTCCAAAACTTCTGCACAACCTTTCCAGATTTCATTTCCACTCTAAACATAACACTTCTGCAGTGTAAATAACTGCACTGACACACAGTTAGAAACCTATATACAGAAATCGCCCTGTTCTGTGTATCATTCTTTAAACACCCAAATATATTTCTAGTTCTTTTACTTTACACAAATAGAATCCTCCAAGTTACCTCCTGACTCCCATTATCAGCCAAGGCACTACAAATACCATTAAACACAAAGTGGTGATCTGTAGGTATGTATGTTACAGGGTAAGAGTCTTCAGGAGACTAATTCTGTAACTCTAGCTTACATACAGCAGCAGTGTTTCACTATGTATTTAGAAAACTTTGTTTCATTAATAATCAAACGAGGGGTTTTTAATTATAAAACTGTGTGGCACCCATGTGTCATCTTGTACCAACCTGTCTGGGGACACTACTACACCTGATGCAAGGCTGCATTTTGGAGACACACAAAAGGCAATTAAATGGAAACATTGAGAACCATATGTAATAGTACATAATGTTAAAGATCTTAAGACACTGTATGCTTGCAGGGGAAAAAGGAAGCTGAAACCAACAGCATTTACCAGGGCTATGCTCTCTGACTGAACCCATCTACGTGTCATATTCAACATGTAAACATAGATAGAAGTTAGTTTGATTTCTTAAGTTTGAAACTAAAAATCTGATCCCAGTAATGAGTCAAAAGTTTTACACATGGTAGATAAGAGGATGATTCTTTAGTAAATAAAAAGGATGTTGACAGCTTTTCTTCACTGATGAACCAAATACAGTCTATTGAAGAGTTATTAGAAGGCCACAACATATAAAAATATTCTAATACTCACACGAGAATGCCATCTCACTTGAGTGTAGGCTCACTTACCCAGAGACTGAGATACAGGTGTTGTAGCATTCCAGAAAGGTGTGCAACCCGTCTTCAGAGAGCTTTAGCTTTTCAAAAAGGAACAATAATACATTTACCATTTTTTTAGAAGGAAAATATAGATAAGCTTGATCAAACAGCAAGTGATAATGTGCCTTCTTCAAAGGTAATGTGATCAGTGAAACTACTTGGAACGTAATTTCAAGTACTGTTTACAGATAGTGTAAGATCTTATTCTGAGGTCAGACAAGAATATATGAAATCACAGTTCTGTTTCACATAATTTCCCCCCACCTCCAAAAGAAATTATTTCTGCTTGGAAAGCATCCTATGGCAAGCTCAGGTCACCACGCACACATACCAGCTTCTCTCCTAGCCGCAGCTTTTGTGACATTGTACTTACATTCAGTATTCCTTGTAGAGCACAGAACATTTCCTTGTTTAATTAATCAATGTAAAAATATTCTAGGTATGAAATACCTTCTGTCTGGATACTTTCTACACCAGGTAGCAATGTCTAGTGTTAGACACTGTCACATGGGTGTCTTCATATGTATTTCGATACCTCAGTATCAAAATACAGATGCAGAGACACACCGAGTGAACCTGTCCCTGCCCGAACCAAGGAGCACTGTCTGTTGTCGGAACAGGACAGATCAGAGGTGATGGTGCCTGCAGACAGCACGTCTGCTTCAGGAGCTCCTACTTGCTAAATCCTGCAGCAGGTTACACATGCTTCTCTTCTGCAGATCTCAGATACACACACACTTGAAGCAGTGGTTCTGAAAACCTGGGAGATTCAAGCTGGGTTTATTGTTTTTTTTTTTCCAAGAAACAAACAGCAAATGTAAGAAGCATTTTAAGAATTAGAACATTTCTCCCAAGTAGCTCACAATTTACCAAGGCATTCAAGAGTCCTAAATTTGTCTAAATACTGCCAGTGCTAAGTGCATCAATAGACACTGCCACACCTGCTACACCATCCACAGGAGCCTTCAGTCACACATGTACACCAATTAAAACAGATGCAATATTTTATTCCTTTGGGACAAATATTTCATTCTCCCTGAGTTTGTTTCTGTCATCATGTTTAATCAATGGCTCAAAACTTTAGTTTAAAACCAATACAATACACAAATATACACGTCATACAGACAAACTGCTTAATAATGTTACCAACAGAGACATTTTAAACCCAATCAGTTGTGCCTGCAGCTTGCTCCAGCTCCCAGATGTTTGTAGTATGATGATATATTTCAACTAAGAACATTCTGAAAAGGCCATATCAACTGGACAGAAAAACATGACAACACACTTGCAATTTTAGTCTCTAGTTGAGAGCCCTTCCCAACTACTTAACATTGACTTCTGTTCCCACAAAGGACATATTCCTGTTGTCTTCATTCTGCACAGGCACAGTTTATGGGATGGATTTATAAACCTGAAGTCTGAATAAAGCCAGGAACTTCAGTAAAAAAATGCTTATTATGTGAGCTAATACACCCAAGCTGTTTACAGCAGCGGTTCGATCAGTCAAACAGAGTTGACTTCAGCCTATCCCATTTTTCCCTCAGCTTTGATTTTATTACATCTGAAGCAAAGATATAGTTGATGGAGTCATAGGAAAGATCCCACATCTGCGATCGAGTCAGATTAAATGTTTTCGCAACCAGCTCGTATTCTTGCGATAGATCTGTTGCAAAGACGCCTTTATCATCAGTCTGGAGTTAAATTGAAAGAAAAGAAAAAGGCTGAATTAATTCCTCTACATCAAAAAGGGTTTTTTCTACCCATTACAAACCAGTTTATCTTGATGATGTACAATTTATTCCACAGTTCTTTCATCTGTTGGTAATTATTTCATACTTTATTTGCCCTATTTCCACTCAAAGTTAATGAATTATTCAATCATACAAGAAAATGTCTTAAAATGATGGCACAATTTATCAAGAGAATAGGGATTTGCTGTTAAAACTGCTAGAAAGATGGCGATCAAATGATGCATATGTTCAAGCTATGCCAGTATGTGCAGGTCTCCTTATTCCTCTTTCCCCTTTCCTCAGATCTGGGCACTACAGCATACTCTCTATTCCTGTATCTTCAGGGGAGGAAGTGTCTCACCCTCTCCACTTGGTATCAGCTAGTACAATTTCTTGATACTGACTGAAGCACTAGGCTAGCATCAAAAACATAGGACTGAAAGCCACCTAAAGATTATTAACCTAAAAGGAACAAGTTTGGATTATTTTAGGGTTAATTAGATGATCCATTTGAAACTCAGAGTCCTTATGTCCCCATAGAGGAGAATGCTAACTATATCCTGTTAAACATAAGATGCTCTAGTATCTTCTTCTATTACTCTTGTTTTTATAGGCCTTTATGTGCTGGTAAACACAAGTCATGTTTTCTTGCATGACTTCATTGGTTATCTAAACTTTTCACAGCTGAAAATCTCTGAAGATAATCTCTAGTCATGAATTATTTTTCACCTACTACAAAACAGTTAAACTCAATAGTAAATACTTCATACAATAGAGGACTGAGGCCGATTGGAACAGTAAGCACAAAATATATATACACACACACACTTGGAAAATGCTGCAAATTACAGGGGTTAAACCAACAGGATGATAGTAAAATTCTGCCAATGGCAGCAAAATTACGTGGCACCTCAACATTTAAGGACCTGAATTAGCTGTCAAAAAAACGCAGGAATTCTCATCCAGCAGTAAATACCCAGGTAAGGACAAGCTTACATGCAAGAGAAATCTGTCAATATGCAAACAGTTAAGAAGTTCATTGCATGTACAGCTGATAATCTTGTCTATACAGAAAAAAGGTCTTGTTTTACAATAAAACTAAAAGAAATACTAAAGATTCCAATTGGTATTACAAGCATTTCTCAAACAGAACATTATAATTTCCTACAGGCAGATTATTTGCTGCAAGGTCAGAAAGAGTAAGTTATCCACAAAAAGAGATACACACATCCAACTGGTTCTTTGCCTAAATGTATGGTTAAAAACAAAAAAACTCACACAAAGCACTGTAGGGTGGCCCA